AAATTTTTTATTGTGCGATTTGGTTAATTTTGATTGGTGGAATTTTGTAATTTACCAATAAAATTTTCGAAATTCCCGTGGACAGTTTAAGGGATAATAATTGATCAGATAATTTAATCAATATGTCACATGACATCAATGGGGCTGTGTAATAAAAATATAATTGATCATGCAAAATTTCTAATTTATGCTTTTATATTGCCACAAAAATTTCATATTAATATATAGAAGCTCCTGTAACCCCTTGGTTGCTTTCACACTCTATTCACACTTATTCACACTCTCTCCTAACTCTCTTTTTACTCGTGTTCTTGTCTTAAACTCTCAAACTATGTTCATGCCCTTGAAAGACAAAACATTAAATACCATAAACACACAAGGTCATTAACTTAGAAGTTCTTCAAGTAAAACTCTCCCTACATCAAAGCATCAAAAAGGCATGCTAGTTCGTCTCAATCTTCACAAAAAAGCATGTTACACTCTTGCTACCTGAATCAGATGCCAGTACATTCAATGAATTCATTCATATTTATGATTCACATTTAATCATGAGCTGTGACTTTTTTATCTGGAGAACTCATAAGCAAATTTACTTACCCCAAAAAAATAAGAATGAATGGACAAAGGAGAAAATAAACATTAATAAGAAGGTATAAATTTATTTACACTCTGATATTTTTTATTATATTTCATTAAATGATTAAAATATCCTGGAATCCTTATGATTTGAAGCGAATTGTTCTATTGCTCTGTATGGTTAGGCAGGTTTGCAATGGTCAATTGCATGCATTTTCATCACTTGCAAATACAAATATATCTAATATGTGTTTGTGGGGGCTGTTCTATTGCCTGCAGTATTATATATGTATCAGATGTTAGGCAGTTCTTTTATTTTGCAAATGGTCAATTATGTATGTTTTTTTTGTCATTTGCAAATTCAAATATGTGTTAAATATATGTGTGGGAACTTTTCTATCATTATGCAGTATTATATACATGCCAGATGGTTAAGCATTTCTTTTTTATTTTGCAATGGTCAATTGTATGCATTCTTGTCGTTTGCCATTTATCACACATGGATGATTAATTATTAGGCTTTTTTTTTATGAGTCTGCCTTTAATTCATTACTAATAAATCTTATAAATTTATTATAAGTTGGAGAAGGATTGCAATGCACCAAAATTTTTTCAACTTCGTCTTGAAAACCCTCATGCATTCATCAATTGGTGTGAACATGAACACAACACAACCCTAGAATGGAAGAAACTTGAAAGTAAAATGATTGGAGGGGATACAGAGAGAAAAGAAACATTTAAAAAACACAAGTGTTTGCAGGCAAATACTGTTTTTGGATTTATATATTTTTTCATTTTAACTATTACTTAAATTTTTATATATTTAGACCCAATCACCTCAGTGGATAATTACACATAATAATAATTCCATAGATGGTGTTATGATAACTTTGGTTTAATAAACAATGATGATCAATGCCAGCTATTTTATTTTTTTGTCTGAGATATTTGTAAACATTTGTAAGTCTAATCTTTTCATAATTCTTTTTTTCTTATATTTCTGTTGATTCACCTTTTTATTTTTAGGTTCTCCTTATGGGGACATAAAATACGTAAAAAATACTGCTTAGAGAGTATGTGGGGTCGACTTGTTATAGATCTGATATTAAAATTAATTGCAGACCCCTCAAGAGATCAAGACTTTTGGCAGTGGTATATATATTTTGTTTTGACAGTAATTTGATCAAATGGTTGTTCTTAATGTCTATTTACATGAATGACTTATTTTATTTTTCAATCATTAGGGAAGGAACAGGATTGTTAGCTTCTGAATTTCAAAAAGGAGTTGATCTGAGAAAACCAGATTTCTGGGTTCTTGTAGAACTATTCAAGAGGTACTCTATGAAGAAAACTCTGGTGGTCCCTTTGTTTATGACTAGGGTTTGTATTCATGAATATCATAAGGGTGTCACACAGGGTCACACACTATTAAAATCAAGTGATCAACTCATGTTTTTAAAGGATTTTTTGCTGTTTTAATAGTGTGTAACCCCTTAATGATATTCATGAATAAAAACCCTATTTATGACCCGAAAAAGTTTAAATCCGATTTATACAAGCTGTTCCAACTGGGTCATGATTCCGAACAGAAAATGGGAGTTCAACTCATTAACAATAATCTCCACTTTTTGTTAGATTATGAATCCTTGTATGAACAGTTATGTGCTGTTGAGCTATTTCTAGTGCAAGTTTATGGTATAGTGTCTTTTTTTTCATCTAAATTAATTAATGCATTTAGGAGATATTCATTTTCCTTTTTTTTAAATAGAAACCAAAATTCATATTTGTACCATGGACCAGCCTGCTCCTCCATTATGCCATGGCATCATATGATCTAGTGACATCAATCATGGCCTTGTTTTATTTTACAATCTTATCACAGTTATACACTACAAATATAAATCGCCATTACATGATGCTAATTGAAATAAAAAATAATTATTCTGAAACTTGATCTGGTTTCATAGTTGCATTGAAATGTTCAGAAAACTCGGCTGCCGATTTTGTAGGAATAATTACATATATATGAAATTAGTAGAAAGTTCTTATTAATGTTGTACATGAAAATGAAATTATGTATTCGCAATTTGCATATGTGGAATTAAAATTTACATATGTGAAATTCAAATTAGCCAATCAGAATTTCACCACATTCCATAATATTTCAATTTCACATAATACATAATTTCAATTTCACATACAACAGTAACATTGATTTTCAACAGACATTCATCACATATTTAATCTTATCTTACTTAAATATTACAATATTAGAACAATTACCATCTGGAAAACGACACTTGAGATTAATAATATTGGTCATTTTGCGTTTCCCAAATACAAAGTTCTATGTAGGGGTTGGCACCGTTAACCGTTTAACCGTGGTTAACCGGTTAACTGCAATTAAACGGTTAACCGGCTAAGATCTTTTTTTAACCGGTTAAGATCTTTTTTTGACCGGTTAATTCTTTTTGATTAACCAGTTAAAATTAACCGGTTAAATTAACCGGTTAACCACCATTTATTAATTTTT